TTACTTTACTTCATTCTTAACAACTGAAATTAAAAATATATTTTCGGCTATTTTATTTTCTTCTTTCTTCTTTTGCAACCAACGTCGCCACTCGTTTTAAAAATGCGCGCGCCGCCACAATTTTGGACGTGGTAGCGCCATCTATCGGTACGTGGTACTAATTTTTTAAAAAATTCCTTGTGTTTGGTGTTGCATGATTGTTTTTATACTGCAAATAGAAAATACAGGATGGCCACTAAAAAACTGAAGGATTTGAAAAAGTCATAACTTGTTCGTTTTCAGTCTTTTTTATTTTCTTTTAATATAATTTCTAATATTTAAATGATATTTTTAATATCATTCAGTCTTTCAGTGGCCACCCTGTAGAAAGAAAGCTGGAAATTTAATTAATAAGATGCAATTACAAAAGTTGCAATTTAATTCTCAAATAAATTAATTTTTCTTGCAACTTAAAATATATCTGTTTTTTTTTCTTCTTTTTATTGGTTTCAGATCTATATTTATTTATTAGTTTCAGATCTATATTTGGCCTATGTGTTACATAATCTTACATGCTATAAAATTTGTATGCAAAGAAAAAAGACGCTATATACAAAAGCAAATAACAAAAGAAAGTACATACAAAAGGAAAGTAGCTTACAATTAGTATAAAAGTATAAAAATAGAGGCTAGTTCTTAGATTTCTTCTTTCTCATTGCATTTAAATTTTTATGTTACTGGTTTTTAGGAAGCTGTCTATGATTTTTGACGACTCGATTAAAGAATCTATTAGGAGTTGCATAATTATATATTTAAGGCAGAACCAAATTATGTAGTCAAAATCTCACATTGTATGGTCACAATTACTAGAGACATCTTGAACCAACTTTGCGAACTGCATATCTAATTATGTTGTTCATAAAGATATCATATTTCAATTAATTTTTTCTAATACTTTTAAATAGATGTTAATAGTCAAATATGTACTAAATTTTTCCTTCCAATTTCCATTAGTCGCTGTTTTAAATTCACTGTTTATATTCCTTCATTGATGATGTACCATTCAATTCAATAAATAATTCTCGAAACAAACTGGCAACACTGTTCATATTTTTTAAATTTTAATTTTCGCCATTAGTAGTGCTGCGGTCGCAAAATCGGTACAACAGGATGTGACACGAAAATGGTAAGGGGATCATATGACCCTCCAAAACCTGAGCCATGAAAAAGGATTGGATGTCTACTATGCTAGTTGGTCAATGATTGGGTGCAATGTCTATTCATATACCTCGTGTATGCTTTGTCTGATTAGTCATTCACCTGATTGCCAATAGAGGTAGACAGTTGTCAGTGGAAACATTCAAACGTAATTTATATGAATTTGTTGTATAATTAAAATCATAAATAAGATACAAGTGAAAGCTAGAATTAAAATTAAATGTAATTATAAATTACCATTACATTTGAAATATAAAATTCTATACTTATAATTATAATACCTATTCATTTTTATATAGATTAAGCAAACACAATTAGGAAATATAATTTCAAGGACTATTAATATGTCAATTTTAAAATATAAATAATCAATATTATTTATATTTCGTATGTACGTATAATTTCCATGGAGCAACAAATGAATTAAATAACTTTAAGTATTTTAAATAATTTTTTTGTATTAACAGAGCTATGATTCCAAATGTTCTAGATTATACTTAACACGGTACTGCAGATGATTAATGTGAAATGCATTCATTGGAAACTGAATTTAATTATAAGAAAGTTTATCATTTTTCCATTATCATCCATCTTTCTTTATCACAGTATGTAGTGTACATAATACAATAAGTATACACATGTATTTGGCTCAATTTCTACAATTAATCGTACTACACTTATATAACATCAATGTTAACCTCAATATGTTAATTTTATTTAGTTGTGTGATGTACAACTTGACCCGATTGAACATTCCGTTGGCTTCTTGTACGTAAATGCAATTTTCCAAATATATGCAACAATTTTCCTTGTTCATTTGCAAGTCAATTCTCGTTCATTGAATTGTTGGATCAAGTCAATAGATTCAACGTTCATTTCTATACTTATCGGTGTATATCAGATGCAAACAATTCGCATAAAAAAATCCAATGAATTGAATACTCTGCTGTATTTACTGGTTTTGCATTCGTATGATAGGAATTAACTGGATTCAGTTGGCGACAGTTCATTTAATCGGAAAATTATGGTCGGAAAAATTTTACTTACTGATTATTTCAACTAAATATTCTTCTTCTTTTATTTTGTATTAATTATATTGATCATTTTCTTAGTCAAGATGGCTTTATTTCATTTTATTAGAAAGAAATTTTAAAATTTTGATTAACTCTTGCCAGTTGAATAATAAAACTTGAATATCTAATTTAAATATGTTAGTGGATTTTTCTATGTTTATAAAATATTCCAATTTATCCATCTTGCACGTCAGATAAATGAAATTCTACTGGAATATCGGACAACTTAATTTCTCACGGAAATGGTATGTTGAAAAATGTTACAAATTATAATAATAACAATAACTAACGTATATGTATATTGTTCACAGTTTTCTAATGCAAGCACAC